CTCACTGCCTCTCCCCCACATTGCCTCTTCCCCTCACTGCCTTTCCCCCCCCTTCACTGCCTCTTCCCCTCAATGCCTCACTGCCTCTCTCCCTCAATGCCTCACTGCCTCTCCCCCTCAATGCCTCACTGCCTCTCCCCCTCAATGCCTCACTGCCTCTCCCCTCAATGCCTCACTGCCTCTCCCCTCAATGCCTCACTGCCTCTCCCCCTCAATGCCTCACTGCCTCTCCCCCTCAATGCCTCACTGCCTCTCCCCCTCAATGCCTCACTGCCTCTCCCCCTCAATGCCTCACTGCCTCTCCCCCTCAATGCCTCACTGCCTCTTCCCCTCAATGCCTGCCATCCCTCCCTCACTGCCTTCCTCATAACATGAGAACAGCAGCTATGGAGGAGGGGGAGCTACTAACGGGGTCGGGAACTACTAACGGGGTGGAGGCTGTGTAGAGGCGGACATGTCTGTCAGCGCCTGCTCACAGATGCCAACTGTGCATAATTCATAAATAAAACTATATTTGTTTAATTAAAAAATAGGAAATCATATAACATGTTAATGATTAATAATGTATATTAATATCTGAAAATTAACATTTTGGCATAAATATTTTACAACTAAGATTAAAATTTGTAATACAATATGGGCGATAAGTTTGGCAACCATCGCCTGGTCAGCAAATCCTTCCTTACTGCCTCCCTCACCACTCCACCAACAGAGAGGGGGGAGAATTAGTGAGAGAGGAGAAATAGTGGGAGAGGGGGAGAATTAGTGAGAAAGGGAGGGAGGGGAAGGTAGGGAGAGATGCTAGGAGGGAGAATGGGAGAATTAGGGAGGGAGGGAAAGGCAGTCAGGCAGCCAGCCTGCTTACCTGCCTTTCCCTCCCTCCCTAATTCTCCCATCCCCCCCCCCCCTCACTACTTCCTTCCTGCGTACCTCCCCCTCCCTTTCTCACTAATTCTCCCTCTCTCTAATTCTCCCCCTCTCTCTCATTATCTCTCCCCCTCCGTATTATTGGAACGCTTTCCATCTAAGCTCCCCCATCCACCCACCAGTCAGCAATCACTGACGCAATGAGTGCATTTGGAGCTGACATGGTGCACAGATGTTTCTTGATTGTGTAGCTATGTAAAACAAAATTACAGAATGAACTCTCCAGCCTCGTGACAAATCAAAATAATAGGAATAATAGGCCGTGAATCTGTGAAATCACAGGGTAGAAGGCGGCAAACTGGACCATCTCCCACCCATCACCACGGGCCGGTGCGACGCTTGGCGGACCGCTTCCTACCCGAACTTTGTTCATGTAGCATGACTCCCCCAACCCCAATCGGGAAACTGGAAGTTTCGGATAACTAAAGTTCGGAAACCAAGTGGTGCTCTGTACATCTTGTCCACATCCCCACAGCCAAAGTAAGTGGAATTTGGTATTTATTTTTACATAGACATGTTCAGGGAAGGGAATTTATCATTTTACAAAGAAAAAATAATTTTTTGGGAACACTTGATTTCATGTGCACAGGAGGAATGGCACAATAAACTCGGCACATCACAGTGGTTAAGTATCACCTTTTTGTTTATATTCATGTGGCGCCTGACAGCTGGGTGGACAGCGCTTCGGATTCGTAGTCCTGAGGTTCCGGGTTCGATCCCCGGTGGAGGCGGAGACAAATGGGCAAAATGTCTCTTTCACTCTGATGCCCCAGTTACCTAGCAGTAAATGGGTACCTGGGAGTTAGACAGCTGCTACGGGCTGCTTCCTGGGGGGGTTGTAACAAAAAGGATGCCTGGTCGAGGACTGGGCTGCAGGAATGCTAAGCCCCAAAATCATCTCAAGATAACCTCCAGATGTGTTACTTTCTTTAAACATCTCATTTTGTTAGCTTACTTCTCTTTAAGTATTAAATATTTTACCCCTCAAATCTTTGGTAAAAAAATATTTTCATATTATTTTAAGTTTTGCCTAAAATACTTTGAGTAATAGTGGCTTCATTAGTATGTGTAACTCCTGGCCCTACAATTGTACATTACTCATATGTTCTTTGTACACAAATTCTTTTGAATAAACATTATTATTATTATTATTATTATATGCATTAATTTAAATCAGAAATACAGAACAAATGTTTATTATAAAAAAAACACCTCAAAAACGAGAGTAAACACTCAAGTGTTTAAGGTGGTTCTCGGCCCTTTTCGTAGTACAACCCAGCAATGGAGTGAACCCCAAAAGGGCCGGCACGAATCCTGAGGTGCCGCCTTCCAAGCAGAATGCGTATGGCACTGACAAGATTCAAACAAAGCAGGTACAGGAAGGACTTGCAACTCAGCCACTGGCTCCACCAGTGGCCCACCTCAACCAACACCAGGCACAGCCCCCACCTGCCCAGACCACCTCAACCACCTCGAACGAGACCTACCCCGTCCAGACCTCCTCAAAGAATGAGAACTACCCCACCTAAGACAGAGAAGGTCCTGAATAGGCTTGAAAGAGGAATGGAGAAAAAGGAAAGGCAGAAAAAAGGGCAAGGGGCCCTTGCCAAATCCAGAGAAAGAGCCAGCTCAGCCTGCTAATACGTGAGCTGTACAGAGAAATGTGGCCACTGCATCCCACAGAAGAGGACCACCAATGACACCACAGTTGAGGCCAAAACCCCCACAAGAGGGCTAATCCTGAGTGTTCCAAAGCCAATTGGAATGCAACTCAAGGAGACTATGAAAGTGAATGCAGCCGAAGTGCTGACAGGCACACAGGTCATCCACTACAACTGACGCCGACAACAGAGGACCTTGTGCATGCAAAAGCCCCATCATCCTGGGAAAGAGTGAGGGGGGGGGGCAAACAGGCAAGCATTAAGGGGCTCAAATGAGAAGTCCCCCTAAAACACCTGAAACCTCGTGTCACTCAAGTGAGCGGGTCTGGAAAAAACCATGCCAGGATTCGGGAGAGAAAGGAAGATTCCGGAACCTCGTAATGCACCCAAAAGAAGGCAGAAGACCCAAACTCAAAAGAGGTTAGGTCTATCAGAGATGCATAAACAGGGTCAACCAGGTGTGTAAAAAGTACCTTAGAAGCCTTTGAAGGGGAATCCTGCAAGGACAAAAACCTCTTGAAGGATGTCCCTGGTATGCTAAAGGCAACTAAAGCAGACCCTGAGGGGACCCCGCACTCAAATCCAACTCCTAGAGGGAGGATGGAGGAGGGGGGTACAAAAACCCTTTTCCCTATAACTGAAAACATTCAGTGGAAGATGCTAGGAACCCCAAAGATTCAAAGGGAACCTACGGCCTCAATTCAGACTTCCCCCCCCCACATGTGCCAGGCACAGCAGTCAAGGGTCCTGGGTCAGAGCCATTGTCCACACCCACCACCCAGGAAAGACTGACAGATTTCAGGGGAGAAGCTTTGAGAGAAGAGGCTGGCTGGCAAGAAGGCCCAGAAGCTTGGCAGGATCGAGAAACTCATTTGCCTCCATGCCCGATTCAGAAGGGGTGACCCCCAGAGCTGCCCAAGCCTAATCCCAAGCTATACTCTGCCCTGAACCTGAAATCCTCAGCTGTTTCGGGGCCAGAAGCAGGGGAGAACTAGGAGAGTGAACCATGACTGACGGGGAGGGAATAGAAGGCATGAACGGAGGCAAATTGAATTGACCGACCTCCAAATTCAGGTCCTTAAAAACCAAGCGGGCTGCACAGAAGCTTCTAAATGGGCACATAAAACCTAGACTGCTGTAGCATAGAAAACCTCACATGAAGAGCAGTCACCCTGATAAGCCCAAGCATCATCTAGAGGGCTAATGAGAAGAGTAACGTGACAGGAGCATTACCCCCCCCCAATGCCAGGTCGAAGGTGTCACCTACCCAACAGGCAGCATAGCCGAGACAAAACGAATTAAAATTGCCACATGGCATTGACGATGTGTACCCCTCAAGCTCGCATAAAGCAAGAGCAGGCTCGAGAAGAAGATCCATGGCCACTGAGCCCACAGGTAATAACCTGGGCCTGAAGGTTACAATACAAACAGAGCACCAAAGAACTGGGACGCTATACCAGTACTCTCAAAAAGTGATATGTAAATTAACCCAGCCTAGTTAAGATGGCTGGGAAATTTACCTTGGTGAGCTGAAGTGCAGCACACATAAAACCCTGTGCATCCCACCAGCCAAGGTACTCCAACCGGAAAAAAGATGGAAGCCAAAGACACAAGACTTGCCCCAAAGCGAAGGCCATCTCCAGCTGACAGATTCCTCTGAACACTCCAGGAAAGAAAACCCTGGTAGTGCAAATACAGCACTAGCAAGCAACCAGGGAAGGGCACCCTGAACACATGCAGCTCCAAGTACTCAAAATTTCTGGCCCATGCATACACAAGTGCAAGGAATAGCCACCAAGGAAAAAATACCCAAAGAAAACACTGGGGCCAGAGCGATGGTGGCAGGCCCAGCACCGATGCACATCAGAGGAGAACTGATGGTGGAGCGGCCTGAGAGCCATGGCCTTCCCCCTCCTAACCCAAATGAGAATCAGGGTGGGGAGAATGAGCGGGGGGCTAATTTTATGAAATTTTCAATTGTTTGTTTACATAGTTTGGAGAGTTCTATGGCTGTTTTCGAGTCTGCAGGTCTTGGAGACAGCCAGCTGTGGCTTATTTTGACTCACTGACTTTCTGAGTGCCTTGCTGGGCAGTGACATAAATGAATAACATCATATGTAAATGTCACAGCGCCCTGTGGTCAAAGAACTCCACAACTGATGACACCTACATCAGAGAGATGCTTCAGGGAGTCACAAGGCGTTTCCCAAAGAAAGGTTAAGATAGGATGATTGGAATTGCTGCCTGAAATAAATACTCATTACACTAGAAAGATGGGCCGAATGCGTTTGAAAGTACAGTAATTGCAATTAATCATTAAAGATGTCCAATCATCTGAATCTTTTTTATTATAACCTTGATATTTTGTCATTTCTAATCTTCAATAATAACTTTTGAAAATATTTAAATTACCTGGTATAGGCACCTCAGGAATCTACATTGAAGATTTCTTTATGGAGATCAGAAAACTGGAGGTGTGGTGCAGCACGCTTGAATTTACTCAGTGCTTCCTGATGTAGCATGCTCAGCTCCCTGTCAACATAAAGACCATATTTTATAAAAAAAAAAAAAAAAAAAAAAAAAAATACTGAAAATCTAAATATGAGAATATCAGTCTCTGTCCAATATTGGAGGCCAGATGCTAGGGGATAGCCTCACCTAACTTTGCTGGGGTGAATGATCTGGGGTATGGGACAAACAGGCTGATTGAGTTAAGTCCTATCAGTCCCATTAAGAGGGGTTTAAGCTTTAAGACCTATTAAAAAGTGACTGATGGAGTCCCTAGACTTCGTCACTAGAACTGAACGTAAATTTGGTACAGTATTACATTTTGAGATATAGATAGATGGGAGGGATAGATAGAAGGAGAGGGGTGATGGTGGGGGAGAATGGAGGAGAGAAGTGGAGACAGGTGGAGAAGGGGTGAAGAAGTGAGGAGAGGGAGGAGAGATTTTATTTAATTATTTATATATATACTGTATATACAAGAAGGTACATTGGGTTTATGATGGTACATAGCATTGATGTTTATACATTCTTGCAAAGCTACTAACATGCATAGCATTTCAGGCAGATCCTTAAACACTGCACTGCACTGCTCTGCATTAATTACGAGAGCCCTGAGGAAGCTGATGTGAACCCCCATGTAGCCGCTGGAGTTTTGAATGCTTCGCTATACCTACGAGCACCCTGAGGTGCCTTGCGCACCACCGATTGAGTGCCTCAAGGCACGTTACGCAGTTCAGTAGTTAATCTAACAGATAATTTTATGTAAGAAATTTGTAGCAAAAATTGAAAAATATTAAAAACTTCCTAGAAGGTTGTTACAGAACCCATGGGCATCACACCAGAAACAAATACTGTACTTATTTGATATTCCAAGAGTGTGACTTAACCAAACTGGAAATACTCTACAAATCAAGGGACCCAGAATGTGGAATGACCTCCCCAATCATGTCAAAGGCTGTACCTCTCTCAACCAGTTTAAGAGTAAAATTAAATACTACCTAATTAACTCCATGTAACCTACCTTACCCCCTTTATGTCAACCCATGTTTTGCTATTTTAAACAATGCTGTTTGTTGACCAACTTGTACAATTACTGATTTCTGCCATGTTCCCCCTTTTTCTTTTTTATTTATTCCTTTTTTTTCAACACAATTTATACTCTAATCTCAATTACTATTAAGTTTTAATCTAAGTGTTTAAGTTTAGTGTTTTTCCTGCCCGAAACGCTTTGCGTAATAGTGGCTTTAGGCATTGTATGTACTAGCTCCATCTATAAATTCATCAATATTTGTATCACCCCTTGTATGTATGTACTTTACCTGAATAAACATTTTAATTTTTTTGAATTTTGAAGTGTTCCCCCCCCACCCCACCCCTTGCTCGAAATGCTATGCGTATTAGTGGCCTTAGGTTTTGTATGTACTAGCTTTATCTATAAATCCAACATTATGTTTGTAACTCATCATCTACGTATGTACTTTTCCTGAATAAAAAATTTAATTTAATTTAATTTAATTTAACACTTTCGGCCAGCTGGGACGGATATTGCGTTCATAAATAAATCTACAGATATCCGGCATTGATGCATGTTGTGTCCAAAATTAAAATATTTGTTAAAATTCCGTGTATTGTTTGATTACTATGGGACTAGTTCTACATTACACACATTATGATTGCAAACAATTTGATACCAAAAGGAATGATGTAGCATGAAAATTGAGTTGACAAAATGGAAAGAGTATAAATATTTGATTGCGGGTGGTGGGTGAGCTCTCACGGGTAAATCTCAGCTGAACTTGGGGTATGCTGCGGGTGGCACGCTGGGCCATTTGCCTTTATAAGCATATATTCCTTTAGATAATTCTATTGGGAACAATTTGATTAACACTATCACACTTCCGGTAGAAGGTTCTTTAACTTTCCCCTTGTGCGCCAAGCATTTTGGGCGACTGCGCGGCGACACTGAAATGTTTATACTCTTTTCGGTTTGCTGACCTTAATTTTCCATGTAGGTATTTAATTTTAGTGTCAATTTGTTCACAAGAGAATGCTCTAGAGGAAGATATATATATATATATATATATATATATATATATATATATATATATATATATATATATATATATATATATATATATATATATATATATATATATATATTAAATATGACTGAAAAAGTAAGATTAGTAATTCTAACACAAATTTTCTCAATGTTTCTTATATTTTTCTTCACTGTTGATGGTAACTGAAAAATCAATTCTCCAAAATTCATTTTTATTTCTAGTCTGACGCAACACTTGAGCACGTTTCGTAAAACTTATTACATTTTAAAAGACTTTAGTTTACACACACACAACTTTAACTGAACAGAGCTTAAACATCATCGATTTTTATACCTGCATTTGGGTGAGGTGATATGTTACAACAGTTTTGGATGAGGTGAAAACAAACTTTCAACACAAGACAGAACACGAAACAATGGGTATAATATTTTGTAAGTTAACCCTCAAACCGCGCATATCATATATAAATGATATCAGTGACAAAACCGAAACCGCGCACATCATTTATATATGATTTCGTGTCTAGCGCTATAATTTAAACGCCCCGCCTGGGATTGGGGCAGCTATAGTACAGCCAAGACCGATAGTTGCCAGATGCCACCTAGAAAAAAAATCCAGGCCAACATTCTTGGGTGTTACAGCGTCAGTATTGAGCAAGCTACCATGGCTGGAGCACGCAGCACGAGCTCACAGCACCGCTGTTCAGCTTGTGACCACAGCATCGCCTACAAATACCATAATATAAATGATACTGCTATTATTTAGCAGTGATAGTATTACTGAAGCCCCCTGACTGTGATAAAACTGACCAGGATTCTGATAATAGGAGGATTGTGGTGATATTTAGCGCTGTGCTCCATGGAGGGAAGAGTAAGGCTGTGGGAGGGAGGGTTGTGGCGTGGTCTTCTGACTGTGTGTGGCCACCATTTATTGACTGCACTCACCATACCAGCTTAGTGGTTCGCTATGGTGAACACAAATGTAGATACTTATATATAACGTGTGTATAGTGTGAGATAACAGCGAGAGGAGTAGGTTAGGAGCCGCCATTTTGGTGAGGAAGGAGCGTCGTCTGCACGACTTGGCATGGTGTTTACTGATGGCCACTATGATCTTTGGGCACCATACCAGCTTATTTGTTCAGGTATGGTGAATAAAACAGGTAGATACTTATATATAATGTGTGTATATAGCGTAATAACACCACAAACAATATTGTTGGAGGACAAATATTAGTGCGTCTGGCCTTGAGGGCGGCGACCGATCAGCTGACTGTGTGAGTAGCTACGTCTTTCTGCCTTTACTCACCATACAAGCTTAGATGTACAGTTATGGTGAACAAAACATGTAAATACGTATATATAACGTCTGTATATAGTGAATAAATACAGAAAGAGTATTGTGGGAGATGAATGAGGGTGAGTGAGGTGGTGTTGAGGGAGGGAGTGGCAGTGAGTGGCTCGCTGTTGTTTGGCGATCACTCCTCGTTGCTTTTTGACTCACAAGACCAACTTAGTAGTTCGTTATGGTGTACAAAGCATGCAGATACTTATATATAACCTGTGTATATAGTGTAACAACAGCAAAACTATTTGTTTATTGATTTATGAACATAATAATTGAATCACTAATATGCACACCATAATTTTGAGTACAGCAATAGTTCACACATTTTATAATTTAAATATACCACAATTCACTGTAGGGAATAATATTACTGCAAAAAAACTAAAAAAAAATCAATCAGAGACATTGAAATAATTAGGTAATAATATATTTGTGGCAACTGACGTCTGACAGCTCGGGCGGAGTAGACCTCGTCTGGCGAAGGCTCTGCCAACGCCCCTTGTTTGCCACACTTCCCTACCCTATTGCGGCTAAAATATGCCTCCTATGATTTTTTTTTTTTTTTTTTTCGTGATCAGGGAACAAAAATGAACACTTCTATAAGACGAAAGAATTTTTTGGATTTTTTTTCTTTGTTGCGCCTGTGGGTGTGAATTCCATTTGAGCCCCTAGCGGTTTGAGGGTTAAAGGGAAGAATGGAAGTAACTGCAGAGAGCCTATTGGCCCATATTTCTTGATGCTTCTATATTGGTGCGGAGTCTTGAAGTGGGTAGAATATAGCTGTGCATTAATTGGCTGTTGATTGCTGGTGTCGACTTCTTAATGTGTAGTGCCTCGCAGATATCTAGCCGCCTGCTATCGCTGCCGGCTAGATATCTGATAGATATCTAGATATCTAACTAGATAGATATCTATCTAGCTAGATATCTAGATAGATATTTTTCGCTCAGTCTTCTGGTAGGAGGACTCTTTTTCTGTCCCCAGGAGGCAAGGGAGAGTTTGACTCCATTACTGAGAGAAATACTTTTTGTGCTTTTTTCCAAACTTTTTTCCTCACACACACGAGCTGAAAAGGGAAGAAAAAACCTATAACTTTGTTTTCTTTTCCCCATTCTTGAGTGTTAAAAGTGTTGGAAGTGTCGTTGAATTGTAGAGCCAGAATGGAGTCTGACGCAGTACGAACGAAGAGAACACGAGAGGTCTCACCAAACCAACCCTCGACATCGAAAGCAAGGAGACCAGTGGAGGCAGAGTTAACTGTTTCCGAGTCCCTCCCGGAAACAATTACGGAAGCTCTCAAGGATTCTCTCCCTAACACATCCGAAGAGGAGTGGGAGTATGGAATACTGGAGATCTTAAACAAATACAAACAGAGACCTCAACTTCCTGAAGGCACCCTCCAAGGAGTCTGGAGAGACAGGAGAGTATGGACGGGACCAGGGTCGAAAGCACTTGAACACCTGCCGTTCACTCCAAATCCGGAGGACCTCCTCCAGGAGAGTGATATAACAGTCCAAGTACACAAAATGATGTAAAGATCTGACCTCTATGAGGTTAACAGTTTTTTCCAACAGGAGGACTTAGAAATTATAGCCCTGGTAAAGCCAATCTTTA